TTATTTATCTAACTCTATCATTTCACCTAAAGTTTACGACACTCTCTATTCTACAATCACATTCGGCGTCATTCTTCTGGGACCTCTGAGTAGAAAGAGAGTGCTCTGATCGTTTACAAGTGATGCGTAGTACTGTTGCTGGCGATTTCGAACTTGGGGACAATATCCCTTCTCGAATACATTTTGCGTTCAGTTTTCCCTGATTCATTGACCACATTGTGGCATGGGTACTTGTTTTGATTATGAACATTAAAATACTTTTTATCCCACATTCAGAAGTAAAGAAAATAAACTTGATTTGCAAGCATCAGTGGGATAGGCTATTAAGACGAACAAGGATGGCATTACCTCACAGACTGAGTCAATCCATGTGCCAGATCTACATCGCAAGGAAACGACTGTGTCATGGAGAAGAAATAGGGTTTCGTAGCATTAAGTATGGCGGAATAGAAAACACGCAATCTTCCGTCCCTTCTTTTCCAAAGATTTCTTTACGTTGGTGTCGTTCACGTTAGTTATCATTGTGCTACGACAGAGCTAAACAGTGAAACAACTTTTTACAACGAAAATATTGTGATAATATGCACTTGACTTTACGAATCAACGAATAAAAGTACAGTGGTCAGTTTTTTTTTAGTTCGGATTTTGTGAAATATTCTAACAACACGTGCAACATTCTAGGCGAACGAACTTCTGCTCGTGCGTATTTTTAAAAGGTATGATTTAATTCGTTTGAAATGCTACCATAAACACATTCGGATATTCTAATATCACATTTTTGAAAATAATTCGTAACTGAACAGTTGGATGTACAATATTTTGTATGGAACAACCATAGGCCAATATCTATGCCCGGTTTAAGTTCCATTGCATTGTGAGACTCGGACCTATCCCAAACCCACACTTCGTATGAGACTAGATCGCGGCATCAAACGAGACTGCCTCTGAATTTAATGCTGCTAAAACAAATTGAATTTCATCGATAGGGATGTTGATTAATATTAATAATTTTCTCTTAATGAAGTTGATTACAAATTTCATCCATTCTGAATATAAATACCTTTAATGCGCAATTGTCACGCGCAGTCCCTTGCTTGAGAAATATTATGACACATGGACATTTTCTTTGTTGAGAGAATCTGCGTATCTTTCTATATATACCTGTCTAGTACAGGTATGTAGCTCAAGACCACGAAAGTAAAGTATACATAACAAACACAACTTTGTTTAGCTATTTTGTAAGTTACTTTTTTGCTTCTTATCACCTTAAATATCAAAAGGAAAAATGGTAATTACTGTAAAATTATTTTACTTATTTTTAATTATAACGAACTACTACGTCTATACGTCGAACTACGAACGTCTATACGGAGTATTATATGTAGAGTAAAGAAAGTTATGTAATGCTGCGGAAAATCGATTTCGAGATTTCAACAGAAGTACACGTTTTGGGGTCCCCTGATACCCTTTTTTTCAAAACGCCCGTCCGTCTGTCCGTCCGTCCGTCTGTCCGTTGTATGTGAACAAAACAACACTAGCGCCTAAACTATGTGTAGGATTTTTTTCAAATAGAAGAAACCGCTGTCAATATTCCCTGAGTCGAAGCTCTGCTATGTTGAAAAACAGTCATTAATTTTTGGGGCTACTATACATGAAGTCCCTGGGGCATTTTCAAAATTTTCTCAACAAGACTTCCAATTTTTTCTTTAAATTTCTTGTAAAAATAACATAATATGCTTAAAAAGGTGGCATAGATCCGATTTTCACGGTTAACTCTGAGTTTTCGAAAATTGCAAAAATTTTAGTATTTTGCGGCATCTTCCTACAACTACAAAATTGAAGATATAGATTTTTCCTACAAATAAAATTTGTTCTCCATGGTGATTTCTTTTATCAAGGACATGTAATTTTTTTGGAAAATTTTAATAGTTTTCGCGTAATATCGCTCGCAATTTGTGCAGTTTTAAAAAATTACAAAAACTAGTTTTTCTAAAAAAACGGCTCCAAATAGTTTTTTAAACATTTGGTAGACATAGTGCTAAATATATTCTATAAGATGACATGGACTGCATATTGCTCTATGCTATTGTTTTTTCAAAAATTACGAAAATTATATTTTTTGTCTTGTCTCTCGTTATATTTAGCGGCAGTTATGCTCACATTATTGTATTTATGAGTACATGGCCTTTAAATAATCTCAGATAAAGTTTCTCTAAAACTCAACTGATTTCTGTGAATTTGAGAACAATATTTTGCATTTTCAGACACGCTCAATCACAAAAATTACATATACGAGGTTTTTCTAAAAAACGACTACCAACTTTTTTTTTCAAACTTTTGGAACGGATAGTGCTAATTGCAATCTTTAATATGACGTAAAGTTTATTTGGGTGTATTCTTTTTTGTTTAAAAAAATCACAAAGGTAATTTCTTTGAAAGATCTCTTACGCCGTTAATATGCACATTTGATATGATTTGTAACAACATTGTATTTTTGAGTTTAAGTGGTTCAAATTACGTCTAATATAGGTTTTTGAAAAGTCAAAAATTTTATATGAAAACTTCAAATTTCGAATTTACAGTAGGGCTTAAGCGCCATTTTCCTAAAAGCGGCTCCAAATGTTTCAAAGAACATTGCAATTTACGACTAGGTTTTACTGTACTTTAATATTCTTAAAATAGTACTTCCGTTATACTATTAGGAACGAAAATTTATGAAACTTTTTTTTAAAAAATGTACTTTGGGCGGTAATAGATGGTATCTGACAAGAGTATGTGATAAGTCCGAATAGCTAGTCGAGACAAAAGGCAATAGAAACCTAATACGGGAAAGTCTGTGCCATTCTTAAGGACCACTAGTTCTATTGTGCGATGTTACCGCGCATTATGTGTCATATTCAACGGTGAAAAGTGGCATTTTCTCAAATTTCTTCCTGTTTCTCGGGGCTCTACCATTCATCCTACAAACTATTCCCTCATCGCAATTATTAATTACCACTTCGGCGGTAATTTAGATACAATCACCATAATCATAAACATCTTTTCTTCTTCTTCTTCTTCTTCTTCTTCTTAAAAATTGAAATCATAATTGAAACTAGAGATTTTTCTACATTTAAGATATTCGTAAGAACTAATACTTTAAATGATTTCACATAAATATTTTTTTAAAATGATTAGCATTTTATGCTCATTTTCTAAAAATACTACATTAACAGGATTATCTGAAAAATAGTCACATTTGTCCTTTTAACTCTTTTATGGATAGGGAATATGCACTGAGACATATGCCACTAGTGAATATATATATATATATATATA